CTACGATTAATGAATTATAGGTGTCAAGAAAACGGGTAATGTATATATTAACTGTGCTGCGGACATCTGCAAGCTTTAGAGAAGACTTTTCGAATTTTCCGATACCCGCGATATCTATTCAATTTCTATTGTTTTCGTTTTTTTTTGCCTATTTTTCACTCATCTCAAATCTTGATCGAAACATTTTCAATTTCAACCGTATGCCTGCCGTTTTTACCTAGTTTTTTTTCTATGATTTATTTTATCGAAATCTGCTTATAAATTGGTTCCGTTTGTGTGGAACACATCGATGAATGTTGCGCGATAAGCGCGGACGCCAAAAAAGGACAAAATTCGCCTTTTGGAATGCTTCCGCTCATCTCGAGATTCCGGTTGAAGATATGTGCACTACGATGAGATTTCTACCATACATACATTTCTTAGGAGAGGGGGTGGGGATGGATTCACGAATTCCGTCGAGCTGGCGGCCGATCACAACCACCAACCGGCTTATGTCAAGTGCAACGGGACCGGCCGTGTCGGGCCATAAATGTGTCGTCGATTCGTCAAAAATGTGCGGGGCCAACCGCGAAAAGATAATCCGAAGACAAGGGGATTTTGGAGTTACGAATCGCCGCTGGTGTAAACAATTCAACGAAACATCTGACCGATGACAAATTAGTCTAAAACCATTTGATTTATATCGGATAAAAGAACAACGCATAAATGAGCAGCGTGGGGGGGGAAACAATGCCAATTGCCTTGAGGGATTGTACAAATGAATTTTGAGAAAATTTCTATGATTTTTTGATTTTCTATGTAGTCGGCGTCCGGCGACTGCGGGTAGATTTACGGGAATGCGTCTTTCTCTTGGTCTCACACGGACGAACTGGTTATTTCGCATTTTGTGGGTCAGTTTGATAACTTTTGAAACGACCGACGTTAGAAATTCCAAGAAATGCGAAACTCATCAAGAAAAATGAAGCTGTTCACGAGAAAACAGTAAAATAAGCATTCACGCGTGGCGAGACCTTTTCAAGGCGCATGCGCGTAAATCTACCCGCGTACAGAAGTCCCCGGACGCCGACTAAAACACTCTCACATGTTTTATTTTTTCGAAACTTCAAAATTCCAAAAAAAATATTGAGGTTTAGGTAGAGAAACGAATCTCTGATAGATTTGGTTTCATTTTGAATTTCGCTTCAACACAGTATTGCACTTCCAAACCGGACCATCACTTATAAGATTAGTACCGTAATCAACCACATACGAAAAAGTAGAGCTAAAACCAATAAAGTCTCGAATCTACTCAATTTGCAAGAAAGTGTTAATTCTTTTTGAGGGGGCTTCCGACAGCGTTTCTCACCCAATTTCGACGAGGAGAACAAAAACAAATACGAATGTACGTGCTTCGAGTCGGACACCAAACTGTGAGCCGCCTCGAAAATTACAAGGTTCTCGAATTCACACTCGATGTCGGTTTTTCTTTCCATTTCGGTTGAGATTGTTTCCCGCTCATCGCCAACCTCATTATTGTCGAGCAGCTGACGGCAGAAAAACCGTGAATGTCTGTGTGTGTGTTTGGGCCGCCGGCCGGCCGGCCGCGCGCGCGCATCATAAACGGTGTGTTTTGTCATGATTAGATGACAGTTACAACAAACATATGTTGAAGATGTGGGGCCAGACGAAGACACCGAGATTAGGTAATTCAAATGTGCCGACGCCGATGACATTGATACATCTATTATTGCAAAAAGAAGCGCATAACAAAGGGATCGATTCTTCACTCAATGATACTACGTATTTCGAGTGCCGAGTTTCCGAAGTGGGCTAATTTCAATTAAGCACTACTATGTGGAATAACTACTCACAATTGTTATATTCTATTTTGGCTCATTTAACTTGTATACAATTGAGCGCTTACAGGACAGTGTGATCGACACTAAAAGTGTGTTTGTTTGGGCCAATAATTAAACAAATCTAATAGAAACCATATGCATAATGTATCTAAATAATTCATAAACAATGAATGCATCAAGCGCTACCGTAGTCCGTCGCAACACAAAAGGGGCCAAAGTGTCAAAACAGGCGGATTAGGGACACCTAAGAAGGGCGCGTGACTCAAAAAGGATTAGACCGAGAGTGAATACCGTAATCGTATAATTATGATGGCAAAGGAAAAGGAAATGCTTTTACCGTAATCTGCAAAAGAGGAAAATGGGTGAACAAAAAAAATGAATGGGTTGGTTTTGCGGAATGCGTTGGTGCGCGCACGAAGAGCATTCATCATCGAATCAGCATTAAACACAAAGATTCGGAATGCAGAGATTAGATGAATGGATACAAGTTGAATTATGGGCAGTGATGCTTCTAAATTTGAACAGCCGCCGACCGCCAAAATTGGGCGACAAACGAGAGCGAGCCAACACACTTTTGCAAGGTGAGCAAACTTGGCCAATCGGGTTCAAACGATGATATATGAAAAGAAAAAAAATAAACTAACTGATGTCCAGGATGGTTTCTATCGAATGTCGCGGGGATTCTGGTTCGCTTTTTATCTGAAATTGTTAATTTTCAAATTTTGAAAAATACACTTTCGAATTATTAGGTGTTTGAGCTTAGACAGCACATTTTAATAATAGTTTAGATTTGAAGTCAAATATTCAAAAATAAAAAAAGTCAAACCTTTAAAAATGCCAAATGTTGTTCGAGTTTGAGACCGTCAAAATTGTTGTTGACCATTCTGGAATGTACTTCAACTAAATACAATTGGAAGAAGGAGCAGTAGGAGCTAGAAAAGTAGAAGAGGGGGAGGGTTTGACGAATAATACTATGGGAGTTACGGTAGTCATACACGGCCAATTAGTCAGTCTCTCCGAAAAAGTCAAAACGCGGCGGCAGAGAGTTCAAAGGCGCCGCGGACACAACGCAAACTTTTCGGCTTGAGTTCTAGGCCATTCGAAATGGCATTCCGCTATACTAGTTGTTAGTAATAATTCTGTAAATATGCATCATTCGGACAGAACAAAGGGTTCGAATAAGTGGGGATTGGGTGAAGTTCTAGGGACTTTTCGAAGAATTCTCGAATAACTGAATATTTTGAAAAAAATGAGGCACCTCGGAAAACTATGTGAAACTCAATGGTTTTTATTTATTTTTATTTTGGGGGACCATGGACATTTTAACATAATTACGGGAAATTAAAATAAAAATGGATGCTCGTTTTGAAATCATTAAATAAAAGTATTAGTCAAGCGCACGCCTCCCTTCTGAACTTTTGGACGGTAATTTAATAATAATGCATAGTTTATTTTTTCGATATCTCTATTAATATTCCCTAAATTGGGTATCTCACAGGTTATTCGAAAAAATGCAGTGGGACCAGTATAAAATTTACAGGAATCCTACAATTTGATGACCGACGACAACCCATTTATTTTATTTTTTTTAATGCAAAACTGTCTTTCCGAAAAAAAAAACAAACTATCAAGTTTAATACGATATTCGGCACCTTTTTGAGTTCTATGACCCATACAAAATGCTCAATGCCAGGCGCCAAGATATCGCGCATTCGATTCGATTCGGTTTACGGTAATGCCCTTGAGACGCATTGTTTTCTTCTCGCTCGACATTTTTTTCTCGGAACGCGTCGGTGAGGAAGTTGCACAATGTTGCACGATGAAGCGCAAAAATCAATCAATAGAAGAAAAACGGAATTTGCGAAAAGAGCGGGTTTTTTGCTCGCTATCAGTTCGTTTTACAGCGTGATAAAAGGGCTGCTCATGGGATTTGAGCAGCAGTCAGAGACGCAGAATCAATTTCGAGATTGAAAATTTCGCGATTCGGTTTGATAACTTTGATTCTCCCACTCGTTGATAATGTTTTAATTGTTTTTTTTTTCTATTATTAGATTTGATTTGATAAAACCTAAACGAAGAGCCAGAAAAAAAACAATTATCGAACCTGTTCAAATCTATTTTTGTCATCCAAAATACGTGTACCTCTCAAATTTATCAGCAAAAAACGAAATAATCACCGAAAGAGTAAAAAATAAATGAAAAATTTCCTAGTTATAAATATTTTATTAGATAATAAAATGAAAAATAAAAAGGTCTTGTGTGTGGCTGAAATAATTGAAAATATTCATTTGAAAAATATTTTCAGACATTTGCGAAGAAACTCCTTCAACATATAAACTGAAATGTATTTTGTGTTTCCATTATTCTCTAAATTAAATATTCAAGAAAAAAATGGGGGTGAAAAGTTCGCGGGACAAAAGTGTCAACGACGCAAAAAAATATATACGCGAGGCAATGTGTAATTTGATCCTCTCGTTTGTTCTTCAGATACTTTCAAGTCTTGTCTCAGTCTAATGAAAAACCTGAAATGTGCTATTGACAGGTCTTGATTTGAGATATTTTGAGATCAAATCAGAGCAAAAAAACGAAACGAATGGTTTGTGCCCGGTGAGTGTTTCACTCGTGACAATTTGTGTGTCCCTTTAGGTTGAATACAGGCTTTTTCCAAGAGCTCAGGGGTAAAAAAAAGAAACAAATCTACTATTAAACAACCGAAAAATCCCTAGATTTTCGAATTCACACAAATAATATCAACATTAAAATGGCTCCCTCGTCAACTTATTAGATCTAATTAGGAAGCGTGGGAACGGTCTAATGGATATAATTAATGTGATGTTATAAGAAACATTTAAGAATATTCATTCCAGCGTCAACTCTATCAATCAACTGTACCAATCATTCATTCTCCCTCATTCGCATTTTGAAACGAAAAAAAAAGATCAGGAGTCATTGGTCGACGCTTCATTTTCGTCTTGAATATCATCGGCAAACTTTCTCACGTTCATTGACGACGTCGTCGCTACTTGACGATATGTGTGCGAGTGTGCACCGTCACCGAAAAGACGGATCATCCTTTCGTGTCCACTTCTTCATTCTTCTCCATTTTCGGCTTCTCGTCTGCCGCTCGCTGCTCGTTCTTTGCCGAATTCGCCGATGATGTTGATGCGCGCCGAAATCGCTTGTCGCGTGTGCGGAGATCGAGCCTCTGGTAACTCAACAAACAGATGAGTGCTCTCAACGGTTGCTCTCGTTTAGGTAGACACTACGGTGTAACATCTTGTGACGGATGTCGCGGATTCTTCAAGAGAAGTATTCGCCGAAATTTGATCTACGCGTGTAAAGAGAACGGAAATTGTGTGATTGATGTTGTTCGACGCAATCAATGTCAAGCTTGTCGCTTCAAAAAATGTCTCGCTGTCTCGATGAACAGACATGGTGGGTTAAAATAGAGACAAAGGAGATATTCAAGTCGATTACAGCTGTTCAACACGAAAGAACAAGCAGTTGCGAAGATAGTCTTGAAATGTATTTCAACAATTATTTTTTTCACTCAATACTTTTATATTTTCAGAAAGTCGGCAAAAGAAGGTTCTCCGAAAGAATGCCGCCCACGAAATGTGCGAAAGGTGTCCACAGACTTCTCTGTGAACCGATTGGTCTCGAATCCCGATCCGTGTTTGACCACTCTCCTCTCGTCAGTTCTTCGATGGTGGTCTTCTTTATCGCCATCCAATTCTTTTCCGGTGTCTGACCGAAGGGTATGATCGATGATTTAATTTGGTATGCAAAAAAAATCCAATTTTAGATTTTATTCTCAAATTGCTGGCACTCATTATTTCTGTTCCATTTAATTTCGCAGTCGTCTATCAACACAGTTAATGGTGAAAATGAAGAGATTAACCTACATATAACGGAATAGTTCAAAATTTAAGACTGCGCCAACGAGAAGCTTCGGACTATTTCGAAATCCATCAAGTCTTTGAATTTGAGCATAGTTGAGCAGTGGGCGATTTCTATGATTCTGATCTATCGGCCAGGTATGCTCTATTTTTACTTTGAACAAAATTCAATAATTGCTTATGTTAGAAGATGGTCGATTGGAGAGTAAGCAGGAGACTCGCGACACACAAATCGGCGGAATGCAGGTGTTGGCAGAATGTCAAACATTGCGAAGCCATTGTGAAGGAGGTTACTCGAATTCTACAAATCCCATAACGCTTTTAGTTGAAGGTCAGAAGGGTGCCCAGCTTCTCCTAATCCCTTCAAGTATCGCACAAGTCACCGAAGACGAAATTCGTTGCACATTCTTCGCCGAAGTTCCTTCAAGCAGCATCGAGGCAATTTGTCGAATATCCGTTCATTAATCATAATTATTATTATTTTAATTTCGAGAAATTTTTTCACTACAAAACATGAGCAATATACATTATCGAAACCCGTCCAACGAATACATCTCTAAGCTAGCTATCTATCGTCTGTTCGGAACTGTGTCTATTTCTCGTCTTGTTTTGGGAGAATGTTGTCCACCATGTCAATAAGGTGTTTGTCGCCGAACTTCGGAGGTCCGATAAGCTTCTTCACGTCTTCATAATTCAAAACTTCGCGCTTAAGAAGAGCTTGGGCAATCTGAAAACATTGTAGAAGTTGTGCATTCTGAATAAATAAATAAAAAATACCGTTTCCAATTTATCCATATTTTCTGAAATGAGTTTCGTCGTTGCTTGATGAGCATTTGCGACAATCAATGAAGCCTCCTGATCAAAAACGGCACCGAATTGTTTGCTGTATGGTTTGATCTCGAATCCATCCGTGTTCGGGAACGATAATGGACCAACTGTCGAGCTCATTCCGTACAACTTCACCTGCGCGTATGCTGATTTCGTGACTTTTTGCAGATCATCTTGTGCTCCAGATGTGATCCGTCCGAATTTCAAATTCTCAGCCACCCGTCCACCAAGCATCATGCACATTCTATCGAAAAGCTCTTCCTTTGAAAATAAAAACTTTTCACGCGGATTGTATTGCGCAAATCCGAGAGCAGCCGATGTTCGAGGAATAATTGTGACCTAAAGCGGCTGTGGACTTGTGAATTTTTCAAATAAAAAAATGGATACCTTCAGAAGAGCGTCAGTATGCTCCAAAAGCCATCCAACAAGTGCATGTCCGGCTTCATGATAAGCTACAACTTCCCGCTCTTCTTCAACTAAGCTTCGTGATCGTTTTTCAGCGCCTGGATATTAACTCAAATAATATTCGCTCAAACTTGAATAATTACCTGCCAGCACTCTGTCCAATGCATATTCAATATCTTTTACGGTCACCAATTTTTCCTTGTTCGAGGCGGCGCGAATCGCTGCTTCGTTCACAACATTCATGATATCGGCTCCTGAATTTCAATCCAAAATTAATTTATTGCAAATACATTAAGCACACCTGAAAATCCTGGAGTGAGTTGTGCTAATCGCTTCGAATACTCCTGTGGTGAGTTATTCAACCTAATTTTTCTCAAATACAACTCGAAAAGATCTTTTCGCTCTGGCAGTGTCGGCAGATCAATGCTGATGTGACGGTCGAATCGTCCAGGTCTCAATAACGCCTTATCGAGAATATCGGCTCGATTCGTGCTGGCCAATACAACTACTCCGTTCCCACTTCCCATTCCATCCATTTCAACGAGAAGTTGATTCAATGTTTGCTCTTCTTCTCCAGATCCACCGCCACCTAGCCCACCTCCTCTTCCTTCGCTTCGTTTCTTTCCGATTGCGTCAATCTCGTCAATATAAATAATGCATGGTGCGCGAGCTCTGGCTTCTTTGAACAACCCACGAATACGTGAAGCTCCGAGTCCACCAATCACTTCAACAAATTCGGATCCATTCATTGATATGAATGGCACCGTGGACTCAGCAGCTAAGGCTTTGGCAAGTAATGTTTTACCACAACCAGGCGGGCCAGTAAGAAGAGCACCTCGTGGAAGTTTTGCACCAAGTTTCTAAATTAAACATTTTATTTTGAAAACAAATAAATCAGTTAAAATACCGTATATCTACTAGGATTTTTCAAATAATCCACAAATTCGCGAATTTCAACTTTGGCTTCTCCACAGCCTGCAACATCCTTGAACTTTATTTTCAGTTGTTTTTTGCCTTCTGGACTATGTGGATCAATCACTGTGTATTTTCCTTTTGTCATATTCGACTAAAATAAAAAAATATGTTCCCAATTTTTGTTGGAACTCTCATACCATCATATCGGTCATATTGAATGAACCTTTGAATCTTTTAAAGAGTAGGAAACCACCTAAGATGAGACCACCAAGGAAGAGAATTGTGAGCCATTGACTTCTAAAAATTTGAATGTTTTGAAAAAGAAATAGAGGAAAAAAATCTTACATATTCTCCGTTCTTCTGTACTCAATTTGTGTCCAATGCTCTGGTGGAAGCCCCAGTGCGTATTCAGCAGCGCGGACCTCGGTTTCAAAACGCGCCACGCTTGGTATTCCTACTCGGTACAAACTCGACAGTTTCTCGCCTCGTGAATTTTGGGCTCCGGTATCGTAGAGGTACAAGAAAGCCGTGTCATTCTCAGGAAATACGATAATCTTATAGACTTGTCCTGTTGGAAGAAGTTCGTTGATAAACTCGCTCCATGCTATTTTCTCGGCATTTGCACCATTATTTCGTGGACCAAACATTATTAAGAGCCCATAGGCAAATAGAGAAATTGCGAATATTCTTTTCATTCTGTTTAAGATTTCGTTTTTCCGATCTTCTTCGTCATCATTATTTTTCTTGCCGTTGCCATCATTCTTATTTCCTTGATCTCCTTGGCTGCTCGACTGTTTATTCTTCTCGAATTGAAGCTTGCCGTTTTTAAACGAAAACTCAAACGAAATAGTTTTTTCAAACGGTTTTTTTGATTTCGGTGCATTTTGTTTTTCACTTTTTCCTTTTTTGTCTATTGGACGTGTTGGATTTCTGGCCCTTCGAGCTAAAACAGGATATTTCAATTCAATATGACATTAGACACTTACTTAAATCAATTGCATCATTGACTGTTACATCTGAATACAATCTCGTTGAAGCTGTAGAACATGATGGAAGTGATCGCAAATAAAACGAGTAGCACCTTATTAACGGCCGAATGCCAAGTTGAAATGTCATTCTGAAATATTTTGTAAAAAAATAAGTACGGATTTATACGAATTAACGCTAATAAAATGAAATAATAATTAATTGTCGTTAAAAAAATATATTCATAGTAACTTCATAAAAATTTTCTAACTAGAACATCATATATTTCTAGGAAAACTGGCAAAAATACAAAAAAAAACTAAAAAAAATTAAATAAATATTGTGGTGGCCGAGGAATTTTACAGCCACAACCCCAGTGAGATTTTCGGCCACACCGATGTTTCATTTTCGGTTTTCCCAAAAACCGGCGATAATTTCGAAAATTGTTTGTTTCTTTACTTTATTTTTAATGTTACCTATAGCAATTAACACAAAAAATAATATATTTCCACAGAAAAATTAAATTTTCTCATTGTAACGGTTATTTTGCGTTTGTTCAGCGGAAGATTTCGTTATAATCATTCACTTTTTTGTATATTAAAGGTCAATACAGAAAAAATAAAGAATCAAAGTTTCAACGCAGAAACACAAATTATTATTTTTTTTCCTTTCTTTTCTGCATTAAAATTATTTTGAATATTTTTTCTTTTTTAGTTTTCTCTGTATTGTCCCAAAGTTCATTACCTATTCTACTATACAACTAATTATATAAAAGTTCTTACTATTAAATTTAAAAATTTTATTGAAATTTTCAATTTTCAGCCGCAAATGGCCAGAAAAAATGTAAGAAAACGAGGTATGCTCGCTTGTTTCATATCACTATTTTATTATTAGTTTATATTAAAGAAATTGTTTCCGATGATGAGTATGATGATGACTTTGATGTAAACGGTGCTAGTACAAGTGATAGCGACCATGTAAGTTAAATGAATAATTTATGCATATTCAAATACTTCATTTTTTAGGATGCAAGTGAGATACACCACAGTTTACAAGAAGCCTTTGCGAATAAACCTACAACATCTCAAAGTAGGAGTGTTCCAATGAAGAAAGAGCCCGAAAAAAAGCCTAGCCCTTACCATTTTCACAATCTTTCTCGTAATATTTTTAATGTTGTTTCTTTTTCATGATAATATACGTTATAGCTCATACGTACATGCCATATGTTCCTGGATATTGGACGGCGCAAAATCATTATCGAATGCCACAGGACATTATTATCTCATCAATTCGAAAATTTGGTTCTGAAGGTCTCGGTCGAGTTGAGTTAGGGCAGGTGATTGGGTTTGATGCGAGCACAAAACCCGGCGGAAGGCGAGTTAGCAATTATATCACAATGGCGACGTCGGAAAACCCACAACATGTCGGACAATATCAAAAAATGGACGGAAAAGTTCGGACGATACGGTTAGTTGACGTCTATAAGCGGTTTTGTAACTAATTTTTGCAGGTATTTCTGGAAAGAAAGCGAACATCCTGAGAAATTCCAAAAATTCCTGGAAGAGTTTCAACAACTCGCTGATATCCCATGTCCGTTCAAGATCGGCCAAGTTATTAAGTTTCCAGAGGAGAATAAACTGAGTATGTTGTTTTAATTTTAAAAAAATAACAGTATTTATCACTTAAGATACGTTACGAATCTCTGATGTCACTCTTCAACGTCTTAACATGATTTTACGAATTCTTGAGGAAAATGATGTCGTTGTCACTATGCACAGAATAAATAAAATGATTTCGGACGAGGAACACGCTCAGGGATACAACTATCAGGTATACCTTTATTGCCATTGTTATACTCTCAAATAATCCATATTTAGCTAATTTTTTGCACTCCAATATGAATATTTATTCAGATTGCCAAAAAATCACTGCTAAAATGTCTTTTAGCGTTGAAAAGGCATGGTTTGGTTCAAATTTACGAGAGAATTGTTCGATCAGATGCCATTGATCACAAGGTTTGTGTATTTTTTTCCAGTTAATTCGAACATTCTAATTTATTTTGCATTCAAGGTGCATATTATTTGTCATCGAAGTATTAACTCTTCTGATGATCCGAAGATTTCGTCCGCTATTGAAGCAATTCTTGATGCATTTCATCAGCAGGGCCGTGTGTTCCCGCATGGACAACTTAGATCTTACAAATTGAAAAATGTGCAATCATCGGAAGAATCATCCGTGTACGATAAGCTTTTGGAAGATGTCGAGACTGACGTAACTTTGCCGAAAACGGTTGAGGAACGATTACAGTTACTCCGATTACAAGAGGTTAAAAATGGAATTCTTTCGGCAAATGTGGTATGTTTTTTTGTTCGAAGCACTCTGTTTTAACATACACGTTTTTAGGATAAAAGTGAGAAAGATGAAGAAAATGTACAAGACGAGTTTGTTGAAGAAGGGGATATCACGAATTCTCAAGAGGAATTAGACGAATCCAGACAGAATCATAGTTCCTTGGAACCTGTAAGAAATTTGGAAAATTATTAATATTTGAATGAAATGACTTCAGCATTTATCAACGCCACAGAAGACACTTACGAGTTTAAACATTCCACGTAAGTCGTTTTTTGACAATATTCGAAGGAAAATGTTTCTAGAATTGACTATTTTCTCAGACTGCATCGTCTCTTCTTCTCGACGAAACCAATCATACTATAATGGTTTATCTGGACTAGGTTATCAGTCAAAAGCGATTCGAACACTTTTATTGCACGAAATGGCGTTTAATTTTGTGCATGGACCCGATGACTCTCAATCCCCGAACGTTCATGAAATGTTAGTTTGTCATTGAGTGTTAATTTTGGAAAATTTACTCTAAATTTCAGTTTTGATATCAAGAAGCCAATTCGTGATTGGAAAGTGTATGAACATGAAGATTTGCATGTTTTTGTAGACGAGGATTCGCCTTACAGATTCATGCCATCAAATCCATCTTATGAAGGAATCCAAAGGTTTCTCTATATTTTGTCCGATATCAGTAATGTTTCTTTTTTTTTTCAGAGGATGGTTCCTACTTCAAGATTTTCTCACTGCACTTCCTCTCTCTGTTTTGGTCATGGTCGCTCACATTCCCCTTAAAATTGATGTATAAAAAATTCTCAAAAATAGAAAAGTTCAAAATATTTTTTATTCAGCGTCCAAAAATGATGTCGTATTTGTCGCATAAAACGAAAAGACATTTATGCATTGGATACCTTGAGCCATCATTAAGAACATCGCTTCTAACAGTTTGACTAAGTTCAGCATTACTTAATTTTTTTTTGGTTTAGGATAAAAAATTGTGGCGCCAAATTGAACAGATACTGTTATATCTTGGTGCAATGGGTCTCACAGCGATCGCACCGTGTCCATCAACAAAACGATTTTCATCGCCGAATTCGTCTATATTTTTCATTTCTAAGAGGTTTTTTTCTTCCTGTGGTTTTCTAAGAACATCTGATTTTGAGGGGTGTTCTTTATGATACGAGTACTAGTGAAAAGGGTTATGCGACAGTTACACTGCCGCTTACAATATATCAACGATATGAATATAATTTCAACACGAAGGTAGGGTTTTAAAAATTTAAATATTATATGCAAATGGAAGAACTTTTTTTAAGCTTGACGTTCAAGAATATTGGCATCATTTACGGGCAATCGTACAGTCGACACCTTTAAATCTTCGATTGGATCACATTGGTGATGGAAACACTAGGTATAAAATGTATTCGATTGGTAATTTTGACAAGGTAATTAATTTTTTAACATTAATCTGTAAATTAATCGAAACATTCAGAGTATAATCGAAAAACCGTTGAATGAAGAGATCGAAATGATTAATCCGATTGATCCTCGCGATGGTGTAGCTGGATTCGATAGCGCTTTATATTTGTAATAAATCGAATGGAATTGACCGATTACACTGGGCAGATTTCAGGCATCTCAAACGACATTGGGATCTCATCACAGTCCCTCACGATTGTGTTGGATGGTTTATTGCCAGATATCGAAAGGAATCGGAGTTGCTTAAGCCTAAGATTGAGCATAAAGTGAGCAATATTCAAAGGGACTGGAATAGTTTTGTCAAGTCGATGATGCCAACTGATATGGAATTAAGCAAAGTCAAAAGACAGACGGTACAGTTTTTAAAATATTTGCTTTAGGAAATTTTTTGGTTATTATCCTAGCTCAAACATGATGTTTGCTCAGCAACAATAGAATTTTCAGATTTCCGCAGGATTTCATATCGCACGAAATTCTGTGAGAAGCAGCAATCGACCTGAAAACCCGATGATAAAGAATATGAAACGAAGAAAACCGGATAGTGTGGATTTGATGAGCACAAAATCGCGAACGACTCTTAGATGTCGATTTACACCGAAAGAGCGAGATCAGCTTGTGATGATCAGAGCTGTTGGATTCTTTTTGAATCCCGTTTATCGATTTTGGCTCGAACCAGGGGTTCTTCGAGATCTAATGCATGAATATGTGCCCGAATCACGAACGAAAACGGTGCAAAGTCTGATGGCGTGCGGAGTTCGAGATCTAGTTCGGCCCAACCGACTCGCATATTTACGAAGAATTGTGAAAAATTTGTCGACATTCCCAGAAATGCTCAAAATGCGGCACGAATTGTGCACTTCTCCAATGTCGGACCCTGCGTCAAAAAGCGAATTCTTCAAAGAAGCTTTCCGCAAAGCCAGAGAACTCCTGTTCATGTACGATTTCTAATGGTGATTTTCTAAAAAAAAATAATGAATTAAATTTAGGGATACTGGTCTCCTTCCAAGTACTTCTGTGAGCGATTCGAGTTTCAATGAATATTTGGCCGAGAATCATGTTGTGATTACGCGTGAAAGTACGTCATCCATTCCGATGCCGTTGAGATCACGAAAACCTGATGGAATTCTTCACATTCAGCATTGTATGGCGTCAAATGTCATTTTGGTATTCAGAGTTTAGTTCTCAGATTTCATGAAAATTCGCTTATTTTTAGTCGGTTCTCCTTCACGGCGAGGATGGCGAATTATCGGAAGAGATTTTGGATCAAATATCGCCAAGTGTTCTTCAAACTGTTCTACACGTAACATTAGTTACTATTTTAAAATATTCAACTAATTGTTTTCAGATATTCCGTACAGATGGAATTATCACGAAACATCGGGATAATCGGGATACTGTAACGATGAAAAATCAAGCGATGTTAACGCATTAGTACGTTTTTTCTATTTCTTTTTTTTTAGCTTACAATGTATTTTATTACAGTTATCGTCATTTCTTTTCCCATCGCTTTCATCCGGATATAGTCGATAATTGTGGATTAGCGTTTGACGAATCTACATCAAATGATGATATTGAATTGGCCGATGATAACCCTTCTGGTATAGTTATCGCTAGCACGGCCCTTTATAATCCAGAATATACGCTGGATGTCGAAATTGACAAAGAAGTGATGGAAGTGTTCAATCAGACCATAGATGATAATATCACGAAGAAGATCAGATATCTCGAATCGGCTGATTTGAAATTTGAAATGATTCATGTGTATTTTTCGAAAGTCCCTGCAGAAGAAGAGAAAGTTAATGAAGGACATGTGACTACCGCCGAAATTCTGAAAATACTTGACAAGTACTTGAATTCTACCAAACAATCATTAAGTAAGTTATTGGTTTCAGATCCTACCCAGCCAACGATCCAGACGAAGTGTTTGAGCAATGGATTCAAAAGTTTTCGGGATCAAAAGAACGGAGATTACGAGAACTTTCTTGTATAATCGATGCAACCACTCATAACGGAGCGCCGCTCGTCGACATACGACATGATTTAAAACCATATTTGGAAGAATTAAAATTGGCTCGTTATATTGTCGAAGTCGGTGTCGATCAAATTCGATTTGTTTCGCATCGATTCGCAGCTGCATGGACAGTATCTGTTAACGGAATGAGATATTCTCCGAGGCCTTGGATCAAACCAAAATGTAAATCTTGTTTTTCTTTGAATTTTATAATAAATTCAAAATTTTAGCTGGTCTATGCATATCAACAATTCGATGGATTTCCGAGAGTTTTCTGATGACCATTATTTCGAAACCAGGAATTCAGCTCAAGGATCTCTCATTTGATTTCGAATTTGTATTGCAACCGATAGCTATCAAAGAAATCGTAATTATTACATTTAAAAAAAAAACTTAATGTTTTCTTTTTCTTAGGTCGACATGTTGCACACGATTGATATAATTGAAGTTTCGACGAAACAATACCAAAATATTCGTATGTCGTCACCATTTGCCAAAGGTTGTAAACGATGACCATTTATTTTATGTAAAAAAAAAGTATATTTTCAGAAAGCGAACGAGATATGACTACAATTGTTTCATTATATCCAAAAGTCGATTCATTGGAAAAATATTCAAAAATCTTTCACGGTATTATTTCATTATGGACCTATTCATAAAATACGAAAAATCTATTGTCGACGTTGTGCGACTGCGGAAAATTGGCTAAATGCAAAAAAAATTTATGAAGAGGTGTGCGCCTTTAACCTATCCTTACGTATAGGCTCGTAAATCTACGTTTAGTTTTGCACCAAAACCACTGTCATTGCTTTTTTTTTTAGTATTTAGCCAACTTTCCACAGTCGCCTGACGCCGACAATAAAAATTCCATTCGAATAGGTTCATTACGAATTTGACGGAAATATTTTTGTTTATTTCAGGGGTCCCTCTTCTTAAATCGATGATATCGAAAACCGTTTAATTGTTAAAATCTGTTGTTTTCTTTTCTGTTTTTAATTACTGTCACTTACGTTTTTAATTTTGATTTATTTTCGTTGAAAGAATACAAATTTGTTATTAATATGTAAATGATGATTTTTTATCCGTCGTTCACACGGATTTGTCTATTTGAAAATATTTCCGATTTCCTGTTTTTAACCTTATATCCAACTACCGGTTGAACCTAAGATGCCAGAAGAAGAAAAAACTTCTTCGGGAGGATGGTGGTCATGGATAGGACTGGGCGGAAGTTCGGCCACTCATTTAACAAATGATCGGCCACAAGATATTCAGGTATTTTATGAGGGAAACTAAAAATATTCAATTAGCGTCAAAACCAAATGACAATAGGCATTGTCTTTTCTCTGAAGAAAACACCAATTCTAGCCAAATAAATTAACGTAACATAGGAAGAAATACTTTTAGACAATCCATAAAAGTGCGACAACCGAAAAATCGGAGCCTAGTACGTCAGCTGAAATTATTCGACCAGGGCCGGTTAATCAGGTCAAAAATTCTGATGAAACCGGATGGGATCGCGTTAAAGCGTTATACAATAAAGGAACAATGGAAACAGATATTGTTGAACGGGTAGCGTTATTAGTCTAATATACAATCGTAATTCGTTGGTTTTTATTCAGGTGGTACGTATGTCTTTTCTCGGTGGATTCATTGTTGGAGGTGCGACTGGTTATGCACAAGCAAAACATGCATACGACGTGAATAATGTGGGAAGAAAATATTTGAGTCCACGAGACGCTGTGGTATTATTATTATTATAGTTATCAATTGATAGTTGCAATTCATTATAGAAACGTAACATTGATTATGCCATTGTACGATTTGCCAAAGGAGGCTTCGGCGTTGGTTTTAAATGTGCACTAATCTCGGGTTCAATTGTGTGAGGAAACGAAATTGACTGAAATTTATCAAAAAAAAAAATAATTTTCAGTTTGTTAACCACTCATTTGGCCGCTTATCGTGATCGGTTCTCTTCTTGGTATTTCCCCGCAATTTCAGGTGCGATGGCGTGCGCACTGCACTCAGGTAGAGCGCAGTAAATTGAACAATATTTAATTTTAGCCCTAGTTGGTGGTGTTTTCACGTTTCCTGTCGGATTGCTTGGATCAGTGAAGGCTGTTGGACTAGGTGTCAGTTCGGGATTGACGCTTTCTGCCGTAGTGCATTTGTACGCCATGAGCATTGATAAACCGGTCGCAGAGGCGTATCGAACATTCAAAAGAGATTACGAAAAGGTATGATTAATTTTGTGAGAAACTCCTGCAAATATTGCAGTCTCGCGTCTTTTTTTTTTGAAATTAAAAATAATGTTTCTATTTCTAAGGAATTGAAAACCGCTCTTGAATGGGATTTACGCGTCGAACAGCTAATGAAGGACGAAAATATCACTTGGAGGCAAACTGCGGTGAAACGCTTAAAACAACTAGACCAGCAAAAATTAGCCGCCAACGATGATTGATGGTTACTTTTTCGATTCTATTAATTGTTCTAGGTTCCAAAGTAGACCATAGTTTATTATTGTTTTTATTGCATTTTTTTTGTTATGCGCATAAAGATTTTTTTTAATTAAAATAGTTTCACTACAACAAAAAATCATGTTATCGTTCGACTCTAATAAAATTTTTGTCAAGATTTCAAACTTATTGCACAGGATAGGTTTTTTGCTTTATCATACATTTATATAATATATCGATTCAATAAATAATTTGTTGGAGTGTGTCTAAAATTGATGATAAAACGATTCAGACCCATATATGGCGAACAATTGAGGATTTGTTTGTTTAAGCACGGCTCCTCATGAATTTTCCCCAAATGTGCAAGACAAAGACCGAAGCGATAAAGACGAGGCTCATGACGAGAACTGGAACTGGTCCGATCTTGAGTCCAGTAGAATCTTCGGTGTAGAAACGCCAGAGTCCTCCATTATTACCACCGCGAGCGCGAGCTGGAGCAGCAGTTGCTCCTGAATAACAAATATTAGTCATACATAGATTACAAATTCATTTTACCTCCTCTACGCTGCCTGACAGCTCCACCAGCTGGGCGTGGGCTACGTCCGGAATCAGCCATATTAATTTCTGTAAATATGTGAATTTGATTGATGAATGGCTCGCAAGGAGCATAGTAAGAGAATTGAGTTAATTATTTTTTAAAAAATCTGAAATGGATGAAAAAGGAACAAGCGAGTAATGCGCGCATTGCTTAAAAAGACTTGGCGGTGAATGAAATGACGACGACTCGGTTCTTCCAACGAGAGGAGTAGGGTGGAAAAATGGTATACGGTACGCAGACTGGCAATGAGCCAAACAGCATGCAGTTCGGCTGCGTAGCAGCCCTCACAACATTACGGCTGTGTTGAAAGGGGCGACTACGCAGTATTGGCAAGAAACTTGGGGGCGGAGATTGTGTATACACCGATCCGCAGTATTACGGGAGGGCAGCGACGTTGGCAAAGACTGACTCGCGGAGATTTGCGTGCATGAGTGTTTCGGCCTTTGTATCAGTCTCATTGCCATCTTATTACTTTTAGTATTGTGCACATTTTCTAGCGCTGCGTATTTCATGTGGCATCTTTGCTTTTAGTTGTATATTTGTAGTATTTTCATTTATTTTTATTCCAGTGTAAATCAATCAATCGACATGGGAAAATTTACTAAGGAAGAAGAAGTGCTTCTCTCGAGCTACTCTCCATCCAGTTCTACCAAAGGAAACGTCTTGTTTTATTTTAATGCGTTGATCATTGCTGTGGCTCCAATTTATCTTTTCTATGGAGTTCATCAAATGGAAATTTCGGATTCGTGGATTGTCTGGGCTATCTCTGCCATCTCTACCACTTACCTTTTGTCGCTTTCCTGTAAAAATCAGAAGAGACTTTTGAAGGACAAGTAAGGCTTTAACTAAAAAAAAAAAAACAGTTTGAAACATCTCTCAATTTCTAGGATCAGCACTAAGCGTGGACAAGCTGTTGAGCGTGAAATCTCTGCTAAGTATGCCAGCGACAAGAAGATGAGCATTAAGGAGAAGGAGGTGATTATTATTATTATTAAGTATTTTCACTAATAATTATTTTTCGTTTAGGAGCGCGCTTTGTTCCGCAAGAACGAAGTCGCTGATAGCGAATCGACTTATCTCTCGATTTTCTACACCAACACTCTTTTCCTTACCATCATGCTCGTCTCTGGATTCTTCCTTTTTGCCAACGTTGCTCCAGTTTTCAACCTTCTTCTCTCGACTTCCGGATCTGCTGCTCTCGTCGCTTTCCTTTCCACGGCCAAGAACTAAGAGCGCCATTCCGTCGTTTGCATTACCTACACGGGATTTAAAAACTTATATACTTGTTGTCTGTTTTAAAATGTATTTATCTAAGAGAATTGCGGAAAAAAAATTGTGAGTTTCTATTTAATTTATTGCAAAATTAATGTAATGTAGCTTGAATCGTTAATAAATGAAATTGACGAAAATATCGTTTTTGCTATAGAAAAAAGCAGTTAATTTTATCCGGAAAAATAATATTTTGCTAACGATTTAATTTTAACAATCAAATTCAAGATGAAATTGGCAAAGTCGGATGTTACTAAAATAATGAACCAAGGTTCTCCGATGGTAAAATTATTACAATTTTGAAAAAAATGACAAAATTGTAGATTGCCAGAATGTCTTTAAAACGAACTGCTATCGTTGAAATAGTTCGAGCCGACTCTCCGTCCTCACTATTCGTAAGACCCATAAACCATATATCCGAAAATCTGGTGTATAAAGAACCGTAAGGTTTTTTCGTATTAAATGAAAAAATATTGTTTGATTTAAGAATAAATTTAACCCCTCTCGTGCATATACAAGAACGAGATTTTGCTTTGGCTCCAATTCGAAATCGAGAATTTGGCAGATGTTTGATCCTAAAATACTTCCCTCTTCGAAATTGCGCAAAAGTGTTTTTCATTGATTTTGCAAAAACATGTTATGTTAATGTGTCCGTAAGATCTTAAATGTTATTTTAATATGAAAAAAATAAGTGTTTGTGTAAAATCGATGACGAGCAATGTTTCTATCCTTGGCAAATAATGCATGTTTCATTAGGACGCCTCTCGCCGCTTTCGGTTTGATTAACTTCGTAATGTTGTCTTAATTATCAACGCATTTTGAAGGAAAATGGGTATACAACAGAAAATTGCGAGCGATTTCGAGAAATTTTAAGCAATTTTGATTTGTTTGAAATCGCAGCTTGTGAATATGATATGGATTCTTCAACTGATAGAGGAACACTTATCGTATAATAAAATTGTCATATAAATTATCACATGGTATATTAAAGGTTAATTTGCGCGGGCTTACTGATGTTGATACAATTGAGACAACTTCAGTGTGCATTGAAAATATTCTGGCAGCAATGTGTTCTGATGTTTCAGTCACAGTGTTTCCCGGGAATATATTTCAGGTTGAATCAGTTTTTAATTCTATAACATTATGGTTGTTGCAGAATCCGGAAATCGATAATTCTGATTCAATAGAGGATATCGTGATTGACGAATTTGGGGAAAAGTTTCCAGAAGATTGGAAAAGTGAACTTCAAACTAATAATGATGATGATGAAGAATGGAAGATCGGAAACTCGATAGAATTTTATAATCGAGAAATTATTGAATCGCTACGAGACCCAGAAACAGGCTATATCGTCGGTTTTGTAGACGCACTTACAATTGTTTCTCCATATGAATTTTATATTCGGCCAGTTCGAAAACCTGAAACCTATAATGAAGACGAAAATTGGCTGCTTGAAAGTATGAACGAGCTCGTAGAATATTCGCAACAACTCGACAGTTTCTATAGACAAGTTGAAAATCAAAAACCTTACAGTTTGAACGAAATGTATTTATTTATTTTACATTTCCAAAGTGAATTATTATTATTTGGAGGACAGAGTTTTTAAAAAATGGCCGGCTTTTCGGAATGTGTCTGATGCCAAGCGCCAGACCAAATATGAAAGGATTTTGGAGACGAGTTGAGGTTTGTTTAACTTGCGAAATGTCCTCCTCTAAAAAATATTTCAGATATTAGAAGTTGGCAATGAATTAGCATCGTTGAGAAACATTGATTACGGTGGATCCTGTAATGTCAAAATTCGGAATTTGCATAGAATTCATAAAAGGTTGATCAATTTCTCTCGATAATTATTGAAAAAACAACTACTTTTAGCCATTGCTCACAACTTCCATTCTCTCTAAAGTGTAAGATTACATCAATATCGGAGTTAGAATTCTATCATGAAATGGAAACACGATATTATCCGGAACAAGTATTTTGGTGTGTTGAAAATCGGAAAGTCTTCGAGAAACTGATTCCATCCGACGTCCCAATCGAAATTGGACCGACTTTTGGTATTAAAAAAATACGTGCGTATTTTATTTGATGAATATTACCTGTTTTCAGAAATTCGTTCACTAAATGAATTATTTGCGCCGGATTTGCGACTGATGGGCTCGCACATCTCGATTATTGAAAATTTTGTGGAACAGGGACAAGGTGTGGAGCGAATGGAAATGGAGACACACTCTGAGAGGTTTATGAATTCAATTCTACAGTCCTCTAGTGATAATGAGGAAAACAATGATGAGAACATATCAGATTCGACGATTTAGAAAACTAAACAGTTTTTGAATTCCGTGTTTTAAACATTATCGATTATGTACTTACTCGTTAATATCTTTTTGAATGAATTTTTAAGATGTATTCAATGTGATTCTTGACGCAAAACTATATTTACAGATATAATAGCAATTATTATCATCTCTGAGAAATAACTACATATCAATTTATGAGAGCTTGAAGCGAAATAAAATATACTCACGATATTCACTCAAATTCAAAAAAAATAATTTCCTTCAATAAATTTTACTTTTTTATTCGAAATAATATGGAAAGAAAAAGTTCTTCAACTTGATACTTTTGTTCGTTGAATATCGATATTTAGAAAAGTACATTAATTGATTTCCCTTGTATCATATTCTAGTTATTTAAAAAATTTTAAACATTATGTTTTCAAATTTCGTGCTTTTCTTTTGCCGTCATTCTTATCTGTACCAAACTTGTCGACTGTTATCTTCTTTTCCTCTCAATACGATTCTCTTTTACTTTAGTTGACACATTTCAGTAACTCGATAAGCAATGTCAGATTTTCCATCGGCAGCGTATTCTTCTGCGCAAGACAAATGGCTTGGCAGAGATCACTTAATTACTCCAACCATTTTGAAAGCTTTCGGCAATTCAATAAATGGAAAATCCGTTTTAGATGTCGGCTGCGGAAACGGTAGGGTTTCTTCATAAAATTATAACATAAGAATATTTGTCTGTATTAAGGTCATTATTCGAGAGATATGATCAAATGGGGTGCTGCTAGAGTAGTAGGAATTGACAATTCAGAAGAAATGATTGCGTTATGCCGATCTAAAGATACATCTGATAATCGAGTTCGATATGAATTAGCAGATATTTCAAACTTTTGCATCAACTCACAGTTTGACATCGCTACCGCTTTCTTTGTGCTCCAATTTTTGCACGATAAGGAAAAACTGAAAAAGGTTGGCGATTTCCTTTTTAAATCTCTATTCTAAATATTTTATTTTGGGCAATTTTCAATATAGCCGGTCATCTAAAAAAGGGAGGTGTTCTGTACGGTCTCGTGCCAAACGGAATTGCCGAAATTCGACCAACGCCGCTTATGGGCCAAAAATTGGGAGCATCTCTTGAGAAAGATCCTCAATCGCCATTCATCGACGGTGAACTTGTAAAAGTTAATTTCTACGAAAATAATGGTTTTCAGTTTTCAAAAGAAATGTAAAAATTTAAAATACATATTATAGTGGTATGTGGAAATGCTATAATTGCCCTTCATTCAAGACAATTCTACGAGCAAAGCTTCAAAGAAGCTGGATTTTCAAAAGTATGACTCGAAATTAGTTTATTTAAATTATTAATAATTTTTAAGGTAGAATGGATTGAGCCTCATTTCACAAATCATGCAATTGAGGTATTGGGAAAAGAATTTTGTGATATGTATCTCAATCCACCGTGCGATATTATGTTTAAATGTACTTTGTAAAATTATTATTTTATTGTTCAGCTAATTGAATGGGACCAGCGAAATTGTGAACATACAACTACAAAATGAAACATTCATACTCACAATATTTATTTCCGCAAAAAAAAGTTTAAAAGACCAAATACGGAACAAATCTATAACAAAGATCACCTATTTTTGAAAGTTTAGAATAAGAATTCTTTTATGTGTTTCTACGATCTACCCAGTCGTCCAATTGTTAATTAATTATCGAAATCCGATTTTCGAGACCCATTGAATGATCCGTGTAGGAACAATCATTCATCTACATCATTCATTCTACATCCTACAGGTTTCATTCTACAAGTTCTTGACATTGCCAGTAATATCTTCGAAGATAGATTCGCACTTTGGCGGCTGATGGTTTCGTAGCTAATAAGGATGCGGTTATTCTCCACGGATTTTCGCAGAAATAATTGTAAATTACATTTTCTGTTATTCAATCAAAAAATGAGTTTCAACAACGGTTTTAAGATTGATGGTTGAAAATAGCGTTCTTTGTTCGTTTGTATGCAAACCCTACAATTGAAATGATTATCAAATTTTTGCGCCGGAGTTAATAATACTATCATATCAAATAAAAAACGGAGCATTTTTATACGAGACTGACATTTCGAGTGATTTTTCAAATACGCACACATATGCCGACAGTGAACTTCGGACGTTGTCACAAAACAAATTGAACAAAATTTTTGGGTACGATTTTTGCTTATTAATGGTAGATTACATTGGTTTCAAATCGGATTTAACGTCCACTATGACAGTTTCATCTACTAATCCATTCGACTTCAATTGGGAATCTATATAAACATTTCATTTTCGATTTAAATCATTTTTAGGTACTCGGAAATGCGCGTTTTCCTTCTCCTGGCATGCGTTGCCGGAACATCATTCTCTTGGGTATGAGTCTTAATAATTCGATTTAAAAAAACGTTTGATTTGCAGAGCTTCCTTGATAATATATCCAGAAGGTTTGTAAACAATTTTTAGAAATAGTTCCAAACTTAACATTTCCGATCTCAGAAATAACAACAACGATGATAACATAGCAGTAGATGCTTCTGCTCCTGCAGTTCAGGCTCCAAACTTCTGGAATAGCTGGCAGAACAGCTCGTTAGTGCAAGGTGGAATTAACCTTTAGTAAGAATATTTGTTTTGAAACATTTATTAATTCTAAAATAACAGCCATCAAGCCAAAAATGGAACACTTGAGACGCCAGACTTTGTCCAGTAAGATTACTTATTAAAACGCATTTCAACAATAGATCATCACTCAGACACATTGCTAATTCGTCATTCGGACAGGCTGTTCAAAATGGAATCAATCATTTGTAATTCAACATTTCCAATTTTCAAGCCGTATTTTTTAAACTTCAGCACAAATGGAAACAACAGCCAAGAATTGTTGTCGCAGGTTCAACAACAGTATCTCCAATCGGTGCCATTCTTGGCCAACGCTTCGCCAGAGGCGATCCAAGAATTCTTGGCGATGGCTCCTTTGGCGCTGAACACCACCATTGCCGATTTCGAGGTTATGACGCAAGAATGGGCGACCAAATACAATTTGACTGTAATTGTTTTCTTTAAATCTATTTTTAATGTAAGCCCTTCTTTAGGAATACTTGAATGAGTTCAACAATCACACAAAACATACTGTCGAGGAAGCCGAGGAGAAAGCTAGAATGTAATGTTTAATCATTTGAAATCATCTGATCAGCTGGTTTCCAGTGCCATCAGTGCTCTCCCATCTGTTCTTGATAACATCAAGGCAATCGTCAACAATAAGAATCAGACGGTTATCGAAATGCACACCGCCGTCACAAACTACGTGGAATCCTTGGACAGTCTCACTCAAGATCTTGTCGAAATCTTCTTCCAAGTACTTCTTCCACCAGAGTTAAGAAGACCAAAAGTATTCGAGATGATTTCACATCTAGACATTGCCATTAAAACGATTTCAGTGTGGTGGAAGCTTCTTTGGAAATATGATGCAGCAAGCGTCTAGCTTCATTTCGGGATCAAACTCAGAAGAAGTAGCCAACGGCATTGCCAATATGCCAATCATTCGTCACTTCCTTCAGGTAGTACTCATCAGTATTTTATAAATATAGCGTTTTTCTAGAGTAACAACATGACGGATGATGAAGTCAATTCGTTCTCAGCTCAAGCTCAAAACTTCCTCTCAGTGTTGCAAGGGAATGGAGCTCAAATCCAAGGATCCCGCCAAACGATGCAAGCCGAAGTTTTGCCGGCGTACGAAGAAATTGAAGAAGAGACAGTAACCAAGAAGAACAAGAAGAAGAACAAGAAGAAGAACAAGAAGAACAAGAAGAATAAGAATAAGAAGAATAAGAAGACGACGCCAATTCCAGACTATGAGGATGAGGACGAATAAATTTTCAAGCAGTAATTATTTTTAAAAAAAAACCTTTAAATATATTTCTTTTAATTGTTTGTTTAAATTTTGTTTTTTTTTTTTAAATTCGTAATATTTGTATTTTATTATAACGAATTAGTATGCGGTTTCAGCACAGACCAGGCTAGTCACTTCCCGACCATCGTAGAATATGCTATTGTTCTTACATGCAAAGCCGATGTCATCGATTCCGAGAAGAGTGCATCCACGATTGCGAACAACAATTACCTGTTTAAAAATGTTTAATAATACAGTGCGTTGCAAAATTATAAGGCCACCCCCAAATTTGAACGCCGCGCAATGATTTCGATATTTTGAGACCAGTCAGTGTGAAAATCGTGTTCAGCATGAAAAATAACCTATATGTACCTATTTTTATGTTAGTATCTTCAAAAGTAACCGCGCAGTGGTCCAAAACCGTTTTTTCGAGCGGTGCAGAATTATAAAGCCACCCCCATAAAACAAGTTATAAACTCAAAAATAACGACAGTTTAATGTTTAGTGGCACCTCCATTCGAGGTAATTATGTCAGAAACACGGTCTGGTATAGATTTGAGAAGGTTTTAAACATATTGGGTCGATTTAGATTTGAATTTCTGCTCTAACATCTTCCACTCGACTACGATTTCGGTTTTGAGCTCTCCAACTCCCCAAATTTCCTTCCTTGGCCATAAAGACGCCGTGCAAACTCTCCCCAGACGTTCTACATGGGACTCCAAAAAGGAGAACATGCTGGCCAGTCGAGAACGTCCACACTGTGAGACTGAAGCCAGTCCAAAGTAGACCGACTCACATGAATGACAGCATTTTTCTGTTGAAAAAGGACAATAATGACGTCGGAATGGAAGAATATGGCTCTCAAGATCATTTTGATAATCCGAAGAGACAACCCTACTCGTCAGAAAAGTCAATTCCAGAAATCCGGCCTGCGAAAACGCGCCCCCCATAATATCACGCTTCCTTCTCTAAAATTGAGTTTTGAAAGCAGGACGCGATTCTTCCATAAATCGGGCCAGCAACTGTTATAGCCGTCTGGGCCATCCAAATTATTTTTTTTTCATCGGAAAAAATAACCTGTTGAAATTTGAATGGCTATTATTCACAATATTCTCGAATATAAGCACCTTGTTTCAATCGGTATTCATGTTTTTGAATGCGAACTCAAGGCGTCGAATTTTATGGTCCTCTGTGAGTCGCGGGGCCGGCTTCATTTTTTCTCTAGCAATGTTGGGGTTATTCTTGATGGTTCCCCAAACTGTCCACTTGCTTTTGTCGAAGTTTAGCTTCTTCTTGATGTCATTTGTAGACTTCATACTGCTCGAAGCTGCTCGAATCAATGCTCGATTAGCGAGATGGTCCAGTTTTCCTCTGCCGCCTGACTTTTGCGACATGTTGACACGAGTTGGATCCTTCACAATGATGTCTACGAATGTTTTCGGACCATTTAAATTCTTCGCAACCCAACGGTTCGACCATCCTGCCGTTTTGAATGCGATAATCTGAGATTGCTCAGAAACACTAAAACAGCGACCACGTGGCATTTCAAAATGATTCAAAAAGTGAAAAATAAGGACCACTGTAGGTTCTCAAAGCCACACAACAATTTTTATGCACACTGGTCCCGCCAAAGTTTCGAAAAAATGCGAAAAAGTCCGTTGTATGGGGGTGGCTTTATAATTCTGCACCGCTCGAAAAAACGGTTTTGGACCACTGCGCGGTTACTTTTGAAGATACTAACATAAAAATTGGTACATATAGGTTATTTTTCATGCTGAACACGATTTTCACACTGACTGGTCTCAAAATATCGAAACCTGCGCAGCGCTCTAATTCGGGGGTGGCTTTATAATTCTGCAACGCACTGTATAGGAATGATAGAGTCTTATAATTAAATACCATATATTCACAGTTTGCACTGTAAAATCCATGTCTACCATAGAGTCTTGACATTACGGAAGATTCGATCAGGCGATTTTCAATTTGCTGATTCAATTGGGGACATTTCGAAGCACGATCGGATGGAATCCAAATGCTTTTAGAACAACCTAATTTTTAAATAAGGAGAATGATTTCTTAGAGAATTTCATTTCGAAAAAACCTACCATCATCATATTTTACTGCTCTTGACATAAAACTGTCGCTTGGTGTTCTTTTGACTGCATTAAGATTATTGAAGTGCGATTCATTTATATATGTATAATAAACCCTTACTTGTACATTTTCTAACCCATTTTTCCGTATTAGAACGCGAAATTAGAAGGAAAAATAGCAAAATAAAAGAAAAGGTATACATGTTTGAAAAATTGAAATCGCTTCCGCATATTTCAGTCGCAACTTTACGATTTTTAGTTTATTTGTTCGCAATGCGATAAAACATATTCATAAACAATCTGATTTTATCAGACACATTTATAATGATAATAATTAACATATGAATATGTAAGAAGACAATCCCTGAAGATGTCGTCGATATCTGTTCTCATTTTTATTATTTCATTTTTGATCTTTTGCCATGCCGCATTCAGATATGGTAAGAAATCGACTGTTTCGGTTTTGTTAAGATCAAAATTTTTCAGAAACCCGCACACTATCATGCAAAATAAATGAAAACGGTCAGGATTTATGCATTTTGACAGCTCCAGATTCAATTATCCCCCCTGATCTCAACATTAGGTAGAATTTCCGCGTTCGCGTTTCATTCTTTAAAAAAACTGTCCCTTCCGAATTATGAACCATTATTGGACAAAGTGAAACTAAAAAAAAATTTGGATTCGCCTGAAAATTGCGTTCCACAATATTTATGACGAGCGTCGAGCGAATCGGGCCAAGAATGAGGCACGCCGACCGGGGGGATGAGGGGGAGCTGCGGGCGGGATCGACACTCCCACGGCAAACTGCCCAAAAATTCGTTGAGATCACGATAAATATTTGCAGATGCCGACGTGAAATTTTCAAGCCGGAGTCAAAGACGGTACTCACAAGCACACGGCGTCTCGCATGTCCGATTCGATGTCACCGAGAAAACGAAGTTCATGTTCTTCAAAAAATTCCATCGACGAACAAAAACTGCACAAAATACTACACTTATGGTAAATATCAAGACGACAAAGAATGGTTCATCTGGATGGTGGAGCCGTGCATCACGACGATATCGACGCATTGCAGAATTGTACTTTGATCTGTTTTTCAATAAAATCTGCAAAAAAAGCTACCCGAGACAGAATAAAAAACAAGGAAAATTCAGAGGGCGCAAATGTGAATGCGAGAAGAGGATTATAAGAATAATCTTCGCTTTTCCTCAAATGCACGCGGCGTCTTCTATTTTGAGAAAAAAATAAAACGAGTGAGAGAGAAATCTTCTTCTAAATACAAGAAGTTGCATCTAATAGTGCTTCACTCACCATCGCTATTTTCGTTGTGAGAAACCTTGAATAACGGTTCGATTATGACCGAACATTTTTGACATTTGAGGTCACCAATTTTCAAAATATCACTCAATTATTGTCCAATACGTGCAAATCTTGATTGTCGCCGAAAACCTCATTATTTTTGTAGTCGATAGGAAACTCTCTCGTTCTCTCAATTTTCATCTGTCATTCTGAATCGATGAACACATTATGAATGGTTCAATTGCACCTTCAAAACTGGTATTCGCAACATTTCAGACCAATCACAGCGATTTAGTGGTTTTTGCACTTTTACGCAACCACAATTTTAACAATGAATCTATTACGGTAACTTCTATTTCTGCAAACACTGAATGCGGCGGACACCTTTTTTCCCGGAAATCCGTGAAAAAGAAATATCAGTTTCTTTCTACTATAAACTTTTCATTTCACTGTTTCTGTTATTGTTCTTTTGATCCTTTTTGCGGGATAGGAGCGGTCAATAAATAATTTTTTTTAATTTATATCAAAACCAATCTGTCACAAAAATGCGTTCAATAGAACGTAGCAGACACAAAATAAAAATTGCATCATAATTTTCATCCGCAGTTTGCTTTATTATTTGTGTCGCCATTTCTTTTTTGTGATTGTCTTAATCTTTGAAACAATTTCGTAAATCAGACGATTCCGCAATAAAGGTTTGTAACCCTTTGGATCAGCCAACCAGTGGTCTTATCGCCATAACTGATAAGAGTCTATCCGCCCCCACCGTTCCCTGCAGCTGTGGCTGCAAACGGCTTCAAACCGTTGCAGACTGCAATATTAAAAAACGCTGATTCTACAGTTTGAAGTATCAACATGTAAGCGTTCATATTCAAAAGAAACGTGCGCACGAGCATCTAACCGAGATAGAACGCGATATGCGGAGGGCTGCGAGCCGAACAACAGACATAAAACGAGATCCATAGACGTCAGACGCTCGAACAACAGCGGCACATATGCGCCATTCTATCCAAAAAAAAAAAACGGCGACCCTTCTCATTTTTTTTCGCGTGGCCACTGTTCGTGATTTTTCATCACTTTCCCAACTCGAAGAGTGCATGAATGAAGTTGAACATTAGCGTCATCTCTATCTATCTCTCTTGCGATGCTATCAGTTTTCGAACTTTTTGGTTGTGAGAGCGTGAGAATTTCTCTTCATAATATTTTGTTTTTCGAAGGTCACCACAAAACAGTTTGATAAGGCGGAAAATCGCATAAACAACTCCGTAATATATTTGTTCGTTTTTTATTGTTTCGGTTCTTCTATTTTTTTTATTCGAATTACTCGATTTTTAGGAGATTGCCACCATCTTCCTCAAAAAATGCAGATCCTTCCACCCGGTAAACTAAAATATTTGGTTTCAAAATTTGAGTTAATTTTCAGGTATTTATCGGGTCGATATTCTGATTCTGATATCGTACCAGATGTGTCATTTCTTTTCGATTCAACAATTGTTCCCAATTTTTTTGAATTACACGCCTAAGATTACATGCGCAGATACTCCAAATGGTGAGTTATTTTATTAGAAAAGAAATTATTCGAATGACTCGACGGAATCTTTGTTTTGCACGTATGCCCATGTCGCGCATCAAACATTGCCCAATTTCAGCGGAAAATGCGCTTTTCCGGTCGGTGTTCTCTGTTATCTCAATGTTGACTCGCAATGTTGCATCTCTTTTGACCAAGTGGAAAAAAGTGACGAAAAGCTTTAATGGCTGAATTGCGCGAGTTTTGTGGAAAATTAAGCAGCCCTTTTGATTTTGCAAAAAGAAATTGCCCACGTAATAAGCTGGAAACGTTCAAAATGCAACGATGCGGATTAAATTGTTATGGAATGAAATTGTGACGCCAAATGCAGTGAAAAAATTTTAAAATTGAAAAAAATCAATTTAGTAAAAAAAGGAAAACAAGTTTAATACTTTTTCTTTTTTTTTTACCACCCACGTTGCATTTTTCTTTTTTCATTTTTACTAAAATTTGCCCGTTAAGTGTAAACAAACAAAAATGAAATATTTACATCTACTCCATTAAAAAATAATAATTGTATTCTTCGTAGAATTGCTCTATACAAGGTCATTCTAACATTCTTGTCGTGTTCTTGTCTTTTAAGAGTACTTATTTAAGACGATTGGAAAAGTAGACGCAGGAATTCCCTTATAAGTGATGAGAATCGTATATGATACTGTAATAAAAGTAAATCCCTCAATTGCAATGGCTTCTTTTTTTTAGCGTCATGAATATATAAAATTGCACGCATTCAACTAATGAATTCAAGAAATTCGAGTGTTGTACGAGTACACAATTAACACTTCATGACTAAGAATACGTGCAAAATTGAAATATCTTGATTTAAAATTTCTCATGGAACGATAAACAAAATATATTATTTAAATCAAGCTGTTTTCAGGAAAAGTGTGCTTTGATGCCCCAAAAAACAAATGTCTGCAATACAACAGCTCGTACGTGAATCTGTGTGACAAACTCACCGGAAGCGCATTGGAAGAATGCTTATCGAAAATGGAATCGCGCACTTTCTACAAGTCGGCTGCCATGGAATACGAGATTTATTGTCGTCCTGGATGGAAAGAGTAAAAATAAAACTGGCGACGCGATTAAACTAATTCGATGATTTCAGTTTCCGCCCGGCTTTCATTCAATATGTCGGAGTCTTAATCGGAAATATCATCCTCGGATATGTCGCCGATCAAATTGGAAGAAGAAAGACTTTCATTATTTCAATGCTCATCGGAATCCCTGCTTTGTCGTTGTCAGCCGTTTTTGACAGCATCGCTGCTTTGTACTTCTTCCGTGCTGTTACTGGAATTGGAATCGCTGGAACTATGATTGTCGGATGGGCCTACTTTTCCGAACTGGTCTCACCGCATCAGAGATTCAAATTAAGAACTTTCAGTAACTGGGTAACACTAAAAATTGCATATTGATTGAATCATCGGGCATTTTTTGCAGGCAAATGCTCGAATAATGATGACCCTTGTCGCCCTGTTCACTGGTGAATGGCGTCTTACCTCCCATGTGTGTGCAGTTATCTCATTCATCACTCTCGCCATCGTCTACTTTGTTCTTCCGGAATCGCATATTTGGCTGCGAAAGAAGGGAAGATACGAGGAAGCCGAGGAAAGTCGAAAACGAATTGCCGCTATTGCCGGAATTGATTTCGAGCCTAGTTAGATTTTAAGCAAACCAATAGGCTAATAGAAGGAAAATTTGTAGTGCCGCCGCCACCGCCGAAACCTGAAAACTCTGAGCCGGAGAAGGCTGTTAGCATTTGCACCGTCTTCTCGGACCCGCATCTTCGCAAGAATATCCTCATTCTTTGGATTATGTAAGACGGTCTGCACTATTATCCCAGATTATCATACAATTTAGGTGGTTCGTGACCGGAATGACTGCTTATTTGACCGATTTGTGTGGAGGAGACATGACTGAGAACTTCTGGATTGGCCAATTCCTCTCAGGAATTCTTCTGTCTGTTGTTCGAATTGTAAGTTCTTCTCAAGAGTTATTAAAGGAAGCGTAAAATAAAATGAATCTCTTAATCTTACTGTTCTGATTTTTAAATTGTAGTGTATGGGCTTTGCTGATGGATATTTGCCATGGATGGGTCGCCGTTTCGTGTTGATCTGCTCTCAATCTCTCGCTGTTGGATTCTTTGCCTGCGTCGTTTCCTTCTTGTTCCTTGAGCAAAAGGCAATTCAGTTTTTTTTAACTTAACATTACGTCGCTGTTTCAGGGCGAATGGTACTACACAGCTGTCTACCTTGCCGCATTCGTGTTCACTTCCATCGTTTGGGAACCATGCTATTTGTGTGCATCAGAGCTTATGCCGACTGATGTCCGTGCCACTTCGACAGCTTCATGCTCGATTATTGGACGTTTCGCAAATATTGGAGCATCACTTCTGGTGATATTATTTGAATACAGTAGCTCTTTATGATTAAATATTATTTCAGAGTGGATTGAAGACAATATATGAACCGGGAGTACACATGATCTCGATTGGACTTGGCCTCACCAACGTCATTGTCGCTTTCTTCTTGCTCGAGGAAACCAAGAACTGCAGTCTGGACAATGCTGGAGCTTCAAAGAAGCCGACTGAGAAAGCGTCCGTTTTTCAGAACTGTAGATCAAAAACGTAATAATGGATTGTTTCAGGAGCCAACATGAAATGACTGATCTCCTTGATAAATCATTGTTGAAGGAAGAAGAAGAAAAGAAATAATTAATTTAATTGTTGCTTTACCGTTATTCCTTTCTTTTTTTAAGTCTACGGTGTCCCATCGTTAATAACTTACCAACTGATATTGATGGTATTACTGTAGATCTCTGATTCTCTCTTTCCTGTTTATCTCTCTCTTGCTCTAATCTGTTGACTACACTTTGTAAAACTTGTTCGTTGAATATATATAATATATAGTAAAAATAATCCTTAACGTATTTTTGTCCGCAATTGAATAAAAAAATGATTGAATAGAATCTAAAGCGCTTTTAAAGTTTTTGATAATCTCCATTCTTAGAAAATGCAAGTATATTATTGTGCTCGAATAGCGTAATAGTGAGCGTAAATGGGCCTTGCGGATTAGGAATTCTAGTTTTGACATGAATGCTGGATTACCGTAGGCGGTTGCGGAGTATTCTCGTCGATAAACATGCTGCCGGTGAACACGTTCCAATCAATTGCTTCTTCGAACCATCTCATGCCGCGTCCGATTCCGAATATGGCTCAAAATGCGACGAAACCAAAAATGTAAGTGATTTTCGAGTATAGAATTATGAGAAAGAAAACGTCAAGATTGCGATCAGATCGAAATAAATTGAGAAAATGGGAAATAATGGCATTCGATTTGCATATTTCTGTCAATTCCCATTTTGTTTCTCACAAGAGGAAATATTTGTTCTTGAGTTTTGTAATTCCTTCGGTAAATTTAATTTTTTTTTTGAAATTGGAAATTTCACAGTTCAATTCTACGGTTTAAATTTGAATTTCTCATTTATCCTCATCGAAATGTTGGAGACACTTCCTTTCGAATGGAAATTACTCAATTTCCGATTTTGAATTCGTAGACAATCGCCGTTTCATACTTGATTCGCGAATAATACTAATAATAATAATAATATTGTCAACTCATTCGGATTATTAACAAATTCTTTCTTTTCTTTTTACAAACAACATTTATCTCATTCATAATCCTTTTACGTCGACCCACATCAGAGTCATTGATTCAAATTGTTTCTGAAAATTTATATTGAACTGAATTTATTATGAAACGAAAAAACGAATAACAGAGGAAAATGGAAATGAACAAAATGTTTAAAGAAATTTCTGTTTTTCAACCATTCTGATTAAAATATGATTTCATCGCGAAAATGCTTTAAAACATTCATTGAATGCTGTTTGACTGATTCCGAAATATCCGTGCTCGAATAACAGTGTGTGTGCGATGTAAGAAAGTGAAAAAAAGTTAAAATCATGATCATATTAGATTAAACAAAACAAATAGAACCATGGAAATATGCTGAAAAATAACTAATAAGCATTTCGAATATAACATTTTCAGACTTGAATTCTTTAAAAGGAATTTGTGGACTTTAATGGAAGAGAACAGTTTTTTTTTTGACAAAATTGAAAGCTGCGAAACTCATTAGATTTCGCGTTTCTTGAAGGTTACTTTTTAATATTCTAACTTTTTGAGATTTTTTCGAACTACTTATGAAGCCTTTCAAAAAAAGCTTTATTCCGAATATTCCTTCCTTTCTATCTTACATAATTAAAAATTATTGTTGTTCTCTTTCTGATTTTTCGATATCCTTATTTTATTAAAACTACACGCGGGATATCTTGTCCCGAAATTAAATCTAGGTCAGACAAAGATGAAACAAGATTATGCAATTGTGAGATTTGCAAATTGGGATCTATTCGCAAAAAGCGTTTCAACTATTCCGATATTTGAGTGATCGATTAGTGCTAAGCTCTCAGTGCTCATCATTTTCATTTAAACGCAACACGCGGATATATATATTTTTGATCCAGATGGAATCTCATTCTCCTTTCTCCTTTCTTCATCTTCTCCTACTTCTTCATCATCATCTTCTTCTCATCGTTAGGTCGATCACAATGAATATTCTTACAACGAATTGTTTATATCGGAGTACATAGACCCCAACCAACATACGTACGTACGTACGCATTACGAATCCCCTCTCTTTCAATCTTCTCCTTCTTCTTCTTCTTCTTCTTCTTCTTCTTCTTCTTCTTCTTCAATCTCATTCGCTAATGTTTATGCGTAAGTCTTCAAGATTATTATTTATTTAGTTTTAAGCGCAACCAATCCGCTTCAAAGATTTTTGTTTGTGTTCCACTAACATTCGACCCATTATACTAATTAAAATTCTAAATACGTATGGGAGAATTTTGGAATTATAGAATTAAATTCCAGTTTGTTGAACTCCTTCAAACGCAATTTATTGCCCAATTATTAATAAATTAATATTTGCGATAAATTATTTTAATCATTATATTGTCGTACAATCAGCTTCGCCATCGTTTATTCATGAAATGAGAAAAAGGGAAAGAGAAACTCGCGTATGTTATCCGTTTCAATTAAAATGCTATTGCAACAATTTTCAATGATTATTTGTATGAGCTGAATTAGAGAACAAACTCAATAAAATGAGCTAGTTAGCATTTATAGCATTCTAGTAAACATGCCACCTTAAATGGTAGACAAAAAAGTCGTAGACGTTCAGACATTTTCGCACAGATAAATGTTGGGATATACGAGGTTTGAGTTGTTGTTCGCCAAAAGTCGCCCTTTAGAACAACGTTTGTCGCCAAACAATTTTTGTACTATGACACGCAAGAGAAAAGCAATAAAATAGAAAAAAAAATGGTTTGGTAAAAGTGGATTGATTTAATACAGATTTCTCTTCCATTATTTCATCGTTTTCCTTTGTCACATTTTTTTTTTGATAACTGGAAATGTCAGATATTGATCTACCCTATCAAATAAACATTTTCTATTGCAATTATTATTTATCTGTTTATATACATAGAAAGGTTAGCGAACCCATTCTGATCATATGATTTCCTAATTCCGCAATACGAGAACTGCTGCTCGCGTAGAATGAATGCTAATTTCTCCGGCTTATGTATACCTGAAGCTCCGCCCACGAGCCGAGACCCTATTATGGCAAAATGTTAGTCAAGTGTAGCATATTAGCAAATCCAAATGCACCAAACATTTTCAACGTACTTAAAGGCGTGTCGAAAAGTGTAAATTGCGTTGCTCCGGCGAGCCTTCATCGCCGAGTTTTTCATCGTGTGTTCTCGCGTGGGAAATTTAAAGTAGGCCTAGGGCCACCTCGGTGTGACGAGTTTATCAATCCAATTCCTATACTATGTGTTTTGCGTTGCCCCCACCTGCACCTTCATACAATCAGCATTTGCTGCAGACAGTTTAATGCGGCTGCGAAATATAATGTTCATAACTTCATGCAAATACGTGAATATTCTAGCAGGTTTTCGTATCAGATGTTAAGGCGTCGAAAAAATTCATCGAAATATGAATTCGAAAGCAGATGCAAAAAAAAAAACGCGTCGTCGCATTTCGCGATTCGCCTTAATTTTTGGAACTGCTGAGAAATTAAATTGCATGCATTCGCATCGATCTAGTGATTAAAAATTCCGTGCCCCCTCCATTGCACCCCATGTTTGCTCATAAGTATTCACTATATTCACCACAAAAGTTTTTCTAGCAATGCCGAAACCAAAAAGGCACTAAGTCGTGGGACAGTGTCAAAGTTTTCGTTGGTTTTTGATAGCTATACTATATTTATTTATATGAATATTATTTGTTGCCACTCGTTTCTCGCATAATGTCACTGACATTTTCAACCGTATAGTGCATGATTAGTGGTTAATTACCCCTATTAAAAGGTTAATTATTCATTGATTCATTTCTGCCTCGATGAAAAACAACGAAAAGTTTAGAAAACGGCCCGATTTATAAGCATGTCCACGATTGAATCATCACTTTTTTTCAAGTAATAAAACTATGCGATTTGCCTAAAAGACCAGTTGTATTAAAATCAATTCGACGGAAAAATGGATCCATATCATTTGGCAACGTACGTCTTCTTTATATGTATATATGTATCTCCCATTTTGGAGACAGACCTTCTTCGTTGGGTAAAGCGTCTCTTGGGAGAGTTTCTAGTATTTGAATTGTGATAGTAAATCCAGTTGTCGGACCAGATTGCTTAATTATAAACCTCTCTCTAGCCTAGCAAATACCCAATTACACTCCATATGTTCACGCCTTCAGAAATTCAACCCAACTTGGATCCCATCAGACCTTGGTGACCTTCTTGTAAGTTTTATTGGTGCGCATAAGAGGCAAAACAGGGCCTAGTGCACCAAACAGCGAGGCGGACGCGACGCGACGCAAGAAAAACTGAACGAACCCAATATACACACATAAGTGTGTATATACACAGATAAACGGCGGCATAGGCACAATGGAAGCATAGTGGAACGGCTGTGGATATCATAGGAATCTTATATGCAAGTTATATGGAAGCATAATGGAAGCATTTTTTTGCGGAACCGCGTGTTTCGTATATGGAATGAGCCGTATGCCTTCCATATGGGAAAATAAGAAAACAATTTGATTGCTGTATTCAAAATTTATTTCATATTAACACATTTATTTAATTTAAAATAAAAAAAAAACAACAATGAAATGAATTTCAATTAAGATATAATCAAACCATTAGTTACTGGCAACTGCCGAACTATTCGAATCATTGTCAGTACTGACATCGAGCGGGACGCTGTAATAAGTAGATTATAATGGGCCTATTAATTTGAAAAACTTGTAAACCATTGTTACGTAAACTAAATTTTTCGAGAAAATACAATCAGTTTTTTTACATCAATAATTTTCTTAAAAATAAAAATAATTTATTTTTATTGCATTTTTGGAAACCCTTTAGTGCACAAAATAAAAAGTGAATTGGCGGAAGAAAGAACAACTCCAAAATTTGAAGCAAAAAGGCATTTTGGTTAAAATTTCAAAGACATATGAATACTCACATCTGAGGGTTGCTGGTAGAATCAAGCAGCTTCCTTAATTGCGCCGCGAGCGCTTCCGGCGCTACACCAAATTTCCTTTGAAGTCGTTGGCGCATTCTATCGCTTAATCAAATAAATAAATTAATAGT